TCGCAGATAGAATCCCCGGCTTTATTTCTGACATGATTTTAAGTCAGAAACAGATTTAAATTTTAAAAGGATTTTAATTTGATCAAAGTTGACATTATCTGACCAAAATGTAGAGAAAAAGAACCCCCCAAAAAATGTTAAGTGCGTTAAACACTTAAAACACCGACCCAGAGTTCTAGTGCTCTTAAAAGTTAATGCTGACATTTGGGTTATTAAATATAACGATCTGAAATTAGACATGTTTATTGGCTAGCCATATGTTCGCAAAAATAAATGGGTGATTATTTTTTATATTGACAAGGCGAGGAGAAAATATAAAAGTGAATCCTAGATGGGGAATTTAATTTTAATCTAATTTAATTATCCTTACATATATATATATATATATATATATATATATATATATATATATATATATATATATATATCTTCTCAAATTTTCAATCATTAATAAAATACTTTTATTCACCACTCGTTAAAATCAATTTTTTAAACTAATAGTGGTTGACACTTGAAGTTAATACAGATTTTTCAAAAATTCATTTACTATTTAAATTTAAAAAATGAATAAATAGCAACACACAAGGATAATAGTCCGATAACATGTATAGAAAGGAAAATCGTTTGTTGTGTTCCGGTAGCGCAATGGATAGCACGTTAAACTTTTAATTTAAAGGTCGTGGGTTGGAATACCCCCTGGGTGTCCTAATTTCTGATAAAGTGATTTCTTTTTTTACTGTACTATTTCTTTAGAATAATTAATTTTAATTGTTGAATAAATAGAGACAAACAAAAAAAAATAGTCCAACACCATATAAAAAAAAAAATAAAAAATCGTTTTTATTTTGGCTTTTAATTTGTGATTTTTCATATGTATATACATATTAATATTAAATGTAACTACTTAATAAAAGTAACTAAAATAAAATTTTCTTTTTTGGGCCCCCAAGTAGGAAAGGGTTTAAATTTTTTTTTTTTTTATATTACTTATTTTTCCTTTAACTACATGAACATTCCTTGCATAAACATGATCATTCTCGTGTTTGAAAAATTCTTCAATGTTCCAAACTTTCTCGTCGGTAAGTAGAATTTGCCTGTGGAGTTCATGAACGTGCCGTCATAACAGTGCTTTTGTGTTTAGGAATCTCTTGCGCTTAAATTCCTTCGTAAGAAAATGACAAATTATTTTTTGATAACTCTTGGTATAGAATTCTATGTGACACATTTTCCTTTTTGACACATTCATCTGTTTAGCGAGAAGAATCTTATTTCAAAGAGAGCTTTGACGAGCTCTCTCCTTGACTACTTTGACAAGAGCAAGTGGTTCTCACCGAGCACGGACTCACGATTTTAGTGAGGGTTGCGGTAACCCAGTGGTCAAGGTATCGGGTCATGGCAGGCATGTCATGAGTTCGAGCTGTGTACTACTAAAGATCAGCCGTGTAGGGCAGTGATGCACATTGAATCTGTCGAGAGGTGAAACGTCCTCCCGCTGGTGTAGTGAGATAATTAGGAGAAGGGGTGCCAGCTCAGGTATCGTCCACGTCACTTGATCATGGTTCAAAATTACGTGGTCCGTCACCAAAAGTCCTCGTGTAGCTGAACAATGAGACGTTAATATTCACTCACTCACTCACTCACGCTTCTAGTACGGACTGCAATGTAGTTTATCTGAATCTCTTAATTGTTCCACAAATGAAAAAACTTTTAAACGTCTAAATGTCTAGGAGCCTTTGAAGTTTTTGAGGGAATCTTATTTTATTGAAAGAGATAAATAACTGTTTCATTCTTCTGTTCGAAGTTCTTTCCATTGTAAGTGATTTAAAAACAAACAAGCCACGCTTGAAAATTTACAGTTTTTTGAAAAATATGTCAAGGACAGAATTTAAAATTTTCTGCTGTGTTGAATCATTTACTGTGTTCAGTGGCACATGCAGAAGGGGAGTCAACGATTCTGGACCCTCCCACCCATAGCCCTTATTTTTTTCGATTGATGATAATCCTATGTACCTAGTACGTAAAATTTAATCAAGTATTAGTTATTCAAGATTTATTTTATTGATTAACTCTAATTTTTAATTAAATAATTTACCTTTTACTCTTTTTTTTATTGCCAAAATGGACAAAATCATAAGACTATGATAGGCGGCGTATTGAGGTGAACAAGAATGGCAGACATTCGACCCTGGAACTGCCTCCCCCCTACCGCTTGACTTTTTTGTGTGTGCCACTGAATTTGTTTAATCTTTAATTTTTGTACCAGATTTATGGCATGGCAAGGTATTTTAAACGTATTTTACCACAATATAAGTGGGAAAGAAAATACAAATATTTCAAATAAGATAAGAGATTTGCAGAAAAGCATACGCAAATCATACCTAAAATGGGATATTTATTTCGAAAAAGAAAACATTATTTTCAAACATTTGTTGTATGAAGATGCGCATATTACATTTTAAAAGCACAAGTAAAAGCGGAATAAAATATAGCATTAAATAAATAAATCTGTACAAATGTTTGGCATTACATTACATGGAAGTCTTTCGAATAATATTTCGAAACTTGTATGGAAGTATGAATAAAATTTGACAGAATTTAGTATAAGATTCTTTCACTTTACTTTTTCAAAATCTTTTTAAACTTTTCTGATCTATTGTAGAAACTTTTGAAAGGTACAACTTGAAAGCAGAAAAACTCAGGTGTATTTTCTTTTGAGAGGGAAAGATAGAAAAGGAAGAAAGGACATACTATGTGTGTATGTATATATTTCTTTAAAGCTTATTCAAATGTAAAGAAATTATTTTAAGAGAATCCGAAAAAAATATTTATATATAAATTTCATTTGTGTTTAGGGTTGCGCTTTCAGAGTTTTACAAAGTACAGCAAAAAAGCATTGCAAATAAAAAAAATATATTTTACTTGTCACTGACAAAAGAATCATTTTTAAAATAGAGTTCGGTTCTTAAAAATATTTGAAAAAAGTACTTCAACCAAATTAAAACTGAATCTTAAGAATCAAATAATAATATTTAGATTTTATCTTCTGGTAATCATTCCTTTCATAAGACTTAAATATAAAATCTTTTTCAGTATTAAGGTAGTTAAAATTTTTCAATTAATAGGCTGTTGTCACGAACACAATAGAGAGTTTCACAAAACTGTCAAGTCAAAAAAACCTCACAATTGAAATATTGTTTTGTACAAAATGTGAAATTGCTTGTTATAAGCATTTTTCAGCACTCAAAAGAAAATTCTCATAAAATTATTTCATTTACTTACTGCAGAAGTTTTATTTATTTATATTAGCTGCATGGCCCGGCGTTGCATGAGCTTTTTCGAGTGTATAACTTTTTGCCGAAAGAAATTTCCCCTTTCCCTCTAGGAATCTGCCCTTCCTGGTGTGTGTATGTGTGGGATGTCTATATAATGTCACTAAATTTTCTTTTTTTGAAATTTCATCCACTTCTTTGCCTCGTTAGACTTGTTTCTCCTTTGTTAGCTCGGCGATGCACGGGTTTTTCCAAGTGTATACATTTATCACCATGGAAATTTCCCCTTACCCTCTCGTCACCAGCAGTGTATTGAGTAATTAATTGCAGTGTATTGAGTAATTAATTATAAAAAAAACTATACGGCTTTAATTTATTAAAAAATATTAATTTATATCAATTTTGGTTAAATAATGAATCAACAAATTCTTACTCTTCGCTAAAGAAATGACTGCGTATGCTTATCATTCGATTAAAAATTATTTTAACGGTTCCCCGAATCGGAAAATATGCCTCATTAAAAATAGTTTTTGTATGAAAGAGGCAGAAAATAAAAATTTCATATTACAAAGCCCCATTAAATTTTTTCTTAAAGAAGTTATACATTATTCGGTTTCAGCTAAAATTGGCAGCATGCCAATCTCCTTGAAAAATAATTCGATCTTTTTTTTCTTCTGAGATTTGAATTAAAGAAAATCCATAGAAATATGCATAAAATGTCATGCGTTGTAAAAATTATAATTTTAGTAATATATTTCAACTTAATCACATGTTAAAAGCAGTTTTTTTTCTTTTTTAATCAGAATGAAAAAAAAATGAATCAATGAAGTGATAGGTTGAAAATAAACTTACACTAAGTACTAAAAGTCGCACATAAAAATGATACTATTTATCTATTAATTATAATAATATTTATCCGTATCTTTATATATTATTGACATTCATTTTCAGACTTGAATATAATGATTTATTCGATAAATGTTTTGTAACTACTAAAAACCCCTTAACAGTTGAAATTTTTTACCAGAATTCCATAAAAAAATTATCATGTCACATTTTTTTGAAATTAATTTTGCAATTTCAAACAGGAAATTATTACAAAACATTTCGAGTATTTTCAAGAATTTACCATAATTCTTTTTAATTTTACGAAAATAATAGTGTTTTCCAGTAAGTTTTGCTTTTTTTCCTTCGTCTCTTTCTAATACAGAAGTTACATTTAGAGCAGTAAAAATAAAAAATAAAATATTAATTACCTTACAGTTTTTTCTCAATAACATTTATTTACCCTCTTTTAGTGATCAAATATCCCAGTTTATGCAACTAGTTAAATATTTAAAATAGAAATGAAATGGAGAAACAGTGTAAATGATAGAGAAACAAGATTTCCCTGTACGTTGTATGGGTAAATCATTAATGGCCTAAGCACATTATTCACATGACGTACGGAAAAAACTGAGTAGAGAGGGTTTTCAATGAACAGAGATAAATTAGGTAGGTGTATATTACCAATTAAAAAACCTAATAATATTCTATTTACACTTTCTCCCTCATTATGCTCTTTCGTCATTAGTACTTATTTATTTATCCCCCAGGAAATCAGAATTTTTTTACGAATTTCTGATATCTCAATATTTGTAAAGTAAATTGTTGCCATTAGCTCCTTTTGATCTACGTGTGCTAATTTTTTTCTATTATTATTTATTTTTGCCCAACTTTGTTGTTCAGTTATTTACTCTGTTTCCACTTTTATTTTCATCATCCCATAACTTAATTCCACTCGATCTTTTTCAGAAGATAAAGAAAAAGAAACATAGAAAAGACAATAGCAAAATATTTTTGAATAATTGTAATTAAAAATAATAGACATAAAATTTTGCAAACCGTTAAACTTTTAAATAACTTTGTAAGACAAACTTTATTGAAAAATATACCACAAGTAAGAAATATGTGGCTATCAAAAATCCTTTTAAAATAACTAAAAGGTACTACAAATTAAATTTTAGTTAATCATTATTTATGATTTTGGAAGAAATCGCAAAAAATTCACTTTGTATGATTATTTATATACAGAGGGGAAATAAAGATATATTGAATAAGAAAGAAGAGTTTAACAATTGTTTACAATTTAGTGCAGCGTTTCTCAAACTGTGGGGCGCGCCCCCCTTGGGAGGCGTGACAGCTATACGAGGGGGGCGCGAGCATATCGAAAAGATGCAAACAAAAAATTATTTTAAAAAATTATTAAAATACAGAAAATTAACCAGCGAAACACATTCTGACATAATAAAAAATAAAATACACATTTACACTGATATATTACACTTATAAATGTATCAGTGCTACTTAATATATATTATAATTAATTTAACAAAATATTTAGTTAAAAACTAGTTTAATAATTACCAGTGACCCCCATGGGATTGTCATATATAAAATT